AGCGGCCACCCGCGCCAGGGCAGGCCCCGGGGGGGTGGCTCACGGCTGGGGTCGGCCGGCTGCTGGGCACGGGTGCCACCCGGATACACCAGCCCCGCTCCTGCATCGTCCTGAGCACCCAAGGCCAGCACCATTGTGGGTCCCGAAGGGCCAGAGACCCCCTGCGATGCCACTGCTGGCACCCACTGCCCAGCCCCAAAAACCCATCCTGGAGCCAGGGCCCAAGGCAACAGACTGCAGCAATATTTATTCCTGTACAAACCATTACAAAATGCAGGTGTCCCGCAGCTTCCTCCAGCACTGAGCCCCCCAAAGCCCCAGCTGCCACGGGGACGGGCCACAGCCAGAGGGAAACTGAGGCACGGAGCCCTGCCAGGGCTCAGCACCCAAACACGCTATATTTAGCTATTTTCCCCAAACCCCCTTCCCTGCTGCTGAGACAAAATAACAAAATCCACCTGCCAGCTGCAGGGTGCTGAGGGGCACTGCCAGCCCCCCCTTCTAAATAGTTTATAAGTGGTTAATAAATGATCAGGACCCAGCTGCAGAATACTGCCAGCCCCTTCGTTACCACTAATGAGCAGCCCCTGCTTGCTCCTTCCACCCAGAAACCCAAATACAAACCCCAGGACCAGAAGCAGGGAGGAAAAAAACCAAAAGCCCCCAAAAATCCCATCGCTCAGTTAGAAAAGGTTTTGGCAGTGTGGGTGTGGGGCGCAGCGGTGCTGGGAGAAGCCGGGTGTTTTTGGGGTGCTGGGGCACCAAGGGTGGCAGTGTCATCCCCGCGGGGTCCCACCAAAAACTGTGGGGTCCTGCTGAGGGAAGGATGTTTGTGGACTGGGATTGGGGTGCTGGGGATGGCAGAGGGGAGGGCTGAGCCCCAAGAGTGGGTTCCCCCACCCAGGGGGTTGGGCAAACAGTCTTTGCAGTGGCCCCAAAAGTGATGCAACCCCACCTTCCACCCATGGAGCGGGGGGGACACCCCAAACCCATGGAGCAGGGGGGGGACCCCAAACCCTGCACTCACCACCTGCCCCCCTAAAAAACAGCTCAAAACCCAACACAACCGAAGTGCAAGGAGCCTCTGTGGTGGCACACACAACGGTGGTGGTCCCCTGGGAGGCACCCGGTGGCACCCTCGTGCCTGGCTCCTACTGCCCCCCGCTCTGGGGGGGATGCAGGGGGTCCCCCAGCCATCCCAGCTCCAGGGGCTCTGCCCAGCTGTGGGGAGCAGCCCCTAGGGCCAGGCAGGGTGGGAGAAGGTGATGTTGTAGAGGTCGGCCCAGCTGGCGAAGACCCGCTTCTCGGTGATGAAGCGATGGTGGTTGCCCTTGCGGCTCCGCTCGTTGTGGATGTAGGTCGTGCACTCGTCAGGGCCCTTTGGCTCGTAGTAGTGGTAGGGCAGGGGAGGGGGTGGGGGCCGGCGGCT